AGATCATTTCTAAAGTCATATTTAACCTAAAGCTTGCTAAGATTGCATTTTGAGTGGACTGAGAAAGTTTGCACACAAAAGGAGTCAGTCCCCTATCCATATATACACATGGGGCGCCACGTAATGGCCCTGCATAGGTCCTCTCAATCTCGAGATTTTTTTTCTAAATTGCTTATATTTTTCTTTCGAGTGTCGAGGACTTCGACACGATTTAGAAAGTTAATTAACGAAAAACTGACTTGAAACTGTACCAATACGAATTTTCTAATTCAGTATTTTATCTGATCCGTCATGACGATCTCCGTTTATAAGATATGCGGTTCGACTTTTCGAGTATAAATGTCAATTCCTATTGCTAATGTCTTTCAGCAATACGATCATACTCCTCATGAGGTATTCGTTGAATTAGCTGAATTAGTGTCGAATCAATGGAAGGAAACGGCACGATGGATTAAATATGAAGAAAATGTGGAACAAGATGTTGACAGGTATTCGCTCGTCCATTTGACTACAAATCATTATTGGAGCATGAGTCAATATTTGGATAAACTTTAATTTACATTATATTGATCGTAGTTTTCGTAACTGAGCAAACGAAAGCGTCTCATTCATTATTATTATTATTATTATTATTGTTAACTCTTATTATTACATTAGTACAATCAATACTCAGGCTTACTTCAACTTTAGGTGGGGCGCTCCTCACGTGGCTTCGCTATCGTTTAATGACCTCGGAGTACTGAAAAAATGCTTGGGAAAAGGTGAGTTTTAAAATTTAGCACGGGTCTCTACAAAGCCCTTCGATATCGCTATGTCTTGCGTAAGTAGTGCGCTTAAATCTCTGAAGCAAGGACCTCCGAACCGAATATCTGGCCTACGAGCAATGGCCTTGAACGGTTTGCGATCTCGTCTCTGTCCCTTGTGTATCGTTCTACACCAACCGAGATGAAAACAGATTATCCACGACGACCAATTATTGTTCGCTTACAATGAACCTTTATATGATACAAAAACGATATATCAAATAATTGTATCATTATTGATTTTACCACTTTTTTAGATAGATCGTTATACAATCGCTAGAAACCCAATCGATACCGAGAAACGTACCCAGTAACATGTACGATTAACGAAGAGCCAAGAAACATGAGGATAGAATGCCGCGGCGCAGATTAGCAGTGTTAGGGACAGTATTGACACCTTCACCGCGAAGTGTCAACCAGCTCATGACGGTCGAACGTTTCAAGGAAAAGGTAGTGGAAGCCGTGAGTGACAGTGGGCTATAAAAAAAAAACCCAGGTCTAAATCTGCCACATTGCCTTTATATCTGGATAAACTAGAAATACACTGTAGATTTACTTGAGCTGAAAATTCTCCACAAAGTGCCCCATCCTACTGAGTGGGGTTAAGAAACGCTGGGTTTACTTGAGCAAAACAAAAAAGTCGCTTTGCCGTCAGATAGGGGTTAGTGTTTATGAGACTTTATAGAAAAAAAGGCCGCTGTTTGTGGAGAGTTGTGGAGCTGCTCAAAGAGCTTCTATTGAATAACTGCGTTAAACCAGAGTAGCAGATCAAGTTGCTATGTTCAATTATAGTATTCCGAGACAAAAAAAAAGCCTTCGGCTTTTAAAACCTTCTATTCAAGTTATAGGGTATATGTGGAAGCAGTTTTCGCTCTCAGAGAAATTATAGAGTAGCTTATGCTGAACGTTACGTCAGTGCTTTTTCTTGACTGTCGACAGATCATTGAGCAATACGGAAAAGAGAAATATGTTCAAGTTGTCTGTGCCACCCCAAACGCGAGGCTGAAAAATTCAATTCAGGGACGTGGATATTTTCAATCACTTACGTTACCAATGCCATGGCCCCGCGAATTTCAAGGATGATTCATAGGGCGCCTACCTTTGTGAGCAGGCTGGTATATCGGACATTACCAACAATTACTAAGTACCGGTAGAGCCGATGCGGGAGACCATAATAGATATCTACAGTACTTATATAGGAGTATCTCCAGATATGGAAATATTTAGGGTAATTCTTTAAGCGAATAAACTTTATTCTGGCGCTCAAATAAAAAGCAATTCATGAAAACCGCGTGGTAAAATTTTGCTTTTGCGGCGTCTGCTGGCGACAATCGCTATGAAACCAATACAACTTATACCAGTCAAAACTCAAGGTCGTTTAACGTGACCCAAACTTAGCTCACATAATGGGTTTGCAGTTCTCTTTGAGTTTACCTTAGTTTTTAGCAGATGCATTTCGATGCTCATTAACCAAAACAGAGTCTTGTTAACACTACAAAGTGTAGTTCGATCGTCACGTACTTTTATAATAATAAAATCAACAAAAAAAAAAAAACTATATTGAAATAAAGAACAGCAATGGCTGAATTGGATTATGAAACGGTTGGTGCAGGTTTAACATTGCTTAATTGATGTCTATATATATATATATATATATATATATCTCATATATATAGCTATATATATCTCTTATATATAGATCATATATATATAGAAAACGAAATCCAATGATTAGGCCAGTTAGAATGAAAAAAGTTCTGTATATTTTATACAAAACAACATTTCATAGATCCTCACAGTTTGTTTTTTGATGGCGCAGGAAACACGATCTATCGCAGTGTAAAACATGGATCTTTTCTGGCACCGTTGACAATATTATTACTGCAATAATCCAATTTGTAGCTCTGAGTAGAGAACAGTCTTCATACCTACCAAAGTATGCCCCGAGAAAATCGGCCAAGGTGTAAATGAAACATACATATGCTATTTCATTTAAAGCCTGACTTTACAAAAATTTTTCTAACTGTACTATTTTTTAAAAATCTTCGTCCATCCACGGCATCGATTCGGACAAAAATAGAAGAACATTAATTTTACGGTTTGCAGGAAGTGTAACGGCGAGAGCTAAGCTTCGACGATAAATTAGGTAAAAAGTTCGTAACCACCTCACTGCATTTAAATCAGCGGCTCTATTGGACCTCGTTTTTCACGAATGTTCAATGTACAATACGATAATACGATTTCGTCATCGTCCCCACTGACCCAGAGATCGGTGCGGTCATCTCACTTTTATTGCGACACATTTCGTGCGTATACAGATATAGTGTCAACAACAATTGTTTATTTTTTAAGTTTCCGTCTCCATCTGTCACCCATTTTCAGTCACGCTGCAGTGACTAGGTAAAATAATCGGTTTCGATCATTGTAAACAACATATATACGGTTAGGTTGGCTGTGTAAATATAGCGCATAAATAATTTGGGCGTTAAGAAAAGTCAAACGTTTCTTTTTACCTAAGTGACTATTATTTAACTTAGACTGGCTTTCAGCAGCCTAAGGAAGGACTGCTTGAGGGAAGTCATGCTTTAAGGACCCATAAGGCTTCTAACAATGTGATCCCCAAAGGAAGAGATTGGAGAATCGACGAAGCGATCGTCACCAGAAAAATTTCAAATCGTTATTAAAATGGTCAGAAAAATGTTTCAAACTGGTGGCGACGTATCGATCTTAGCTTATAGCACAGGACGACTTGACGTAGGACTCTTGATCTGAAATACACGAAGAAGAAAAGCCAAGCAGGTGAAAGCTTGTTCCGCCACCTCCTTCGCCACCTCGGCCACTCCTTTGGTTTCGTTGCGGGATATTTTCTACCGTATTAATTAACATTACTGTGGAGCCAGCCCGAAAGGTGTTTCTGAAAGTGCTAAATTTTTCAAACTTAAATATCACTACTAACGGGTACTCCATAGTCGAGTTTCACAATGAACGTACTTGCTCCGTCAACCGACTAAAAGTCATAGTGTGTGACTGTTAATAGCTCGCCTTGTGGATGCCGGTCACTTCTATGCCACCAAAAAGGCCAGCTCGACTTTTCCATCTATTTAACAAGCCATATGACAAAAAAGAAGTGATTTTTTTCGCCTACTTTTTGCTAAGCTTGTAATTACATTTCTTAAGAAAGCTTGCTTGGATCTTGGGCAGTCTGCAGCGTGTTCTGTAGCTTCGTTCGACGTCATAAATGACGTTTAGGTAACCTTTTTAGGGGTTTAGATGATTCGTTTGAATGATTTCATTGAAACTGCTAAGTTTATAGCTAGCCAAAGAAAGAGATTTTACAGGGAAGTTTTGAGAAACACCGACTTGTGCCCACTCCAACAGTATATAGCCTTATCTGTTAGCTCGTTCTGTTTTGCCATCAGGATCGTTTTTCTCGACGTAAAGTAGGGCAAAGTGTATGAGAGGAGCAAAGGTTGTCGTCCGGCCAACATCTCGTTCTTTGTTCGTCTGTCGAATTAAACTTGATTCTCCTCTCCTCAATTCTATGATATTTGTGCCGCAGCCGCTGCAGACGTAGGCAAAATATGCTGTGCTAAGGTGACGATACTCTAACGGCGTCGCTGACCGTAGGCCACTTCGGCATCTGGCCGAAGTCCGTGACAGAGCTCCCTGTGTTTACCCATGATCACCATTGGAGAACGTTGAAACGGCTTCAGCGATAGTCACTAGAAATCTTTGCCACCACTCGTTTAAAATAAGGGATCGTTGGCGCAGGAGGAAACTTGGCCCTCGGTTATGACGTTTTTGATAAGTGCATTACCGTCGTAGGAACCATCGCATCTAAACGATGCTTAAATGGCGTTTGTGTACGAAACAAAGGTGTGACCTGTTGCAACGATATTGGCAAAGCTGACAACAAATTCGTGCATGACAAATATTTAAAAAAAAAAAAGAGTGCACATAACATTTAGTCGCGTATGTGATATTCGAATCATGACGTTGCAAGTGACCACATATTAATTGAATTAGTTACGGCGATCCCGTACTGCAGACCCAGGGGCCATTTGTCGTCTGGGTTATATATTGTTCATTATATCAGGTGGTGCAGTGTAAGGATTTACTCCAGACCGGGAAACATGCAACTGACCAAATTGCACCCCATCGAATTTTCCTGTGTTTTCCTGTTCCGATTTTGCTGCTATTTAAGAGAGGGCTCCTTGCCGCCTTTTATTTTGAGATCGATCAATCCGTTACGAAGAGTTATTACGTACTCTTTTTGACTGGATGAATTCAAGAGAGCTCATAGGACGACGTTACCTGCGGTACGGAGGTCTGCAAGGCGACTTAGAATAATTTTGAAGTAGGCTGATTTTCTATTAAAAGAGACGACCGAGTAAATATTCAAAGGTAACGTTCCCCAGTAACGAGAATCATACTGCGGTGGAATAATTGAGATTATGTGAAAGTTTGTTATACGAAACAGCGTCTAGTGTAGAAAAATGTATGTGAGTTAGGGAAGTAGTTTGTATGTAAAGATGATGCTTCAAACTGTTTCTCTAGAAGTGGAAAAGAAGAAGCGGAGATATAGCATTATTCGCTGGAATGAAGGTACGTGCCATTTTTAAGGGACTCATCCTAACCATTTTTACTTGTTACAAAGTAAATGATGCTCGCAATGTGTGCTATGCGGATTCTGTCCGCGAGGAATAACCGAAGGAAAATGTCTACACCATCACTGATTATGCCAGTAATACAGGCAACATTATTCTCTTCAGCTTATTCCCACTTTTTTTTGCTAGCTCTATGGAGTATGCCCGTATAATATTAGGGGAACAAAGCAAACATTTCTGTTTCCGGTAAGCTACAGTTTTTTTTGTTTTTTTTTTTTTTTTTATTGACTTTATAAATTGTTTTATTGAACTAAGTGTTGCCTCTAGTGCTGCAATATAGTTAATGTTCCTTGAGAAAAATTGTGCTTTATTTAAAGCTTAGCGTCTCCACGATCTAATACACGAAAATAATACTTAAGCTTACGCTCTCTTGACCAATAGATGAACATTTCTTTTTCATAGCTGCTAACCTCAATCAATAATATTATCAGGGCTTATTCCAGCGCTGACTCCATACGTATCGAATATGTGTCCCGCGATATCGCCACTTAGCTAGCGGTTCCAGAAAGGATCCAAGAAACATATTAGCAGAAGCATCTCATCATGATCTATTTAGAACTTAAACAACCCTTGATTCAGCAGGGGACCAATACGAGTCAAGAAAATGCGCACCGACATATGTATCCGAGTGAGCGAACGCGGTTCTGCGAGTTTGCTCCGTATCAAACGGCTGAAGGTTTTCGTCTCCGACATCCTCGCCATGTGACACAACTTCCATGGTCTCATCGTTAGTTAAAAGGATACCAGAAGGAACTTAATCAAATGGCAACTTAAAGTACATTCAAAAATATGCGCCATATTTTATTTTCACTGTCTGTTGGTGCAAACGCACCGACGGAGCGTTGTCAGTCTAAAGCAAACACAGCATGGAAATGACGACCGCAAAATGCCATCTTTGAACACTTACTTATATTCTCAGTAGGGAAAAAGCTGGACTGGAAAGATATCGCGATGATTTCAAATAAGGTTTTAACCCTAACAGGATCCCGAGCGCCTTCGTCCGATAGCGGGTTTGCTCAAACAAATAATTTTTTTCTTCCTTTACGATGGCTCCTATGGATTACCTAAGTTTGTTCAGCAAACCTCGCTGGCCAGATATGGCTATTGACTCAATCTAGATGCGTATTCCGGCGCTTATTTTTACGTCTGTTTAATTGTACCTTACGTCATTTGAAATCCACGTGTCAGTTCATTGTCGTCCTTTATCTACATTTTGTGTTTTCTATGGATAACTGAATGGCCTGCTTGCCTTCCAGAAGGTCAGATTACTCTACAACACTCTGACAAACAATACTTATGAATAGGTAGCACAAAGGCACAGTTAGCTAGTAAGCATGATCTGTCACAGAGTAAAAATTCTACTATCCACCTAGTTCATTATGTAGTTTTAATGAAATTCCTAGTTATTACTGTCAACAAGTAAAGAAACCTTGCTTATTAGCCATAACTCTAAATATTGTTAACTTCACTAAGTTGATATAATTTATGCACAATGTGTGCTCAGCAGCTATAATAAAATGAAAGAACTTTTTTGCTACTGAACAGGAGATCATACGACACGACTAAGGTGGGTTTGTCTGTGTATATCCCGCGCGTCAAGCAAACGTATGATTTACATTACCGACAGTCACCACGTAAATGACTGAAAAAGCCGCTTATTAATAAGTTTTTTTTCAAAGTTTCTAAGTTATCCATCTCAAAGGAGAGCATTAAACACTCGAGTATAACCACCATGCATTTCTGCCTTTTGCTAAGTTTAAAACCTCTTAGGATTCGTCCTATGCGAACATGTTCTCGAAATCTCCTATTTTTAGGTTTAGCGCCAAGGGCACGTTTTTATCTAGAATTTAGTCGGATCTTAATGGATTTACCTGGGGTTTCTTTAGCAGACTAGGAGCAGCTATTAACACCCAACCTTCCTTTCATATTCCATTTTTCTCGTTATCAATGTCTAATGATAATTTTTGCCAATCGAGGTAATGTGGTTATTAGTTATGGTTGACTCGGTAACGCACTTAACGAGATGCGCATGGGCAATACACAAGCGGCCTCAGACCGATACTACGTTGGAAATCAAAAAAGCTAGGGAGGATGATTTGTGTCGTCGAGAAACACGTTTCATAAATCTATCCTGTATCCTCACATCGGAAAAAATCAGTATGTCCTTGGTAAATGAACATCCATACATGTGCACAATATCTCTATTCGGTTTTTACAACCTGAGAACACTCTAAGAATGAGGTCACGATGCGGGAGACGGCCCCAGCCGCATCGACTGTGTGATTCCGGAACAATATCTTCCCCTTGAATGTAGCTCCCAAATCTTTGTAAGTAGCCACTTCTTGAATCGCTTGCCAACTTAACTGAGCTGTCAAAACCATTTTTCAGGCTAGCGCATTTTGGGCCTTACGTTTCTCTTCCATTTGTCTCACACCTAACGTAAACATAGTTGCTGCTCAGCTGTTGTATTTATTTCACTCACATTAGCATTTTTTCGTACATCTAGAACTACAAACAAATTAGTAGAAGAATTTCGAAATCATCTTGCGGAAGATGTAACCAATCGAATCCGCCATCAGCAAATAAACTTCTGACCGATGCAAAAATAGACCTTGATAAGGTCATCTATATATGAATCGATCCGTTTTGAAACTATAAATGCGAATACATATATATGTATATATATATATATATATATGCATTGTATATCAGTGACAAAATAGAAGATCCCGATTTCGCTTCAACCAGTGCCTAATTTAGGTCAAAGCAAACAAAATTGTAATCTATTGAACACACAGAAAACAGTTTCTGTTTACTTTTGCCGTTACTTTTGAAATTAACTTTGCCGTTTTTTCCTGCCGAACAATAAAGAATTTATGTCATAAGTATAATTTAGTATCTGGGTCTGATTACCGCTCTTCTTGAACTTGAATTTCATTCTTAGGATATATGTCCTGGCTCGTATATAATGTATTGCCTTGACTAACATTTTTCAGCGGTGGTTCTATTGGATCTCGAAGAGAAGGACCTTTCAGGAATATGCAATCGCATTGTGGATGCAATGGTCGAGGATGGACAGATCAGCTCTGATAATCGGGCCGTCGTGTTCAGGTTATATAACCTTTACTACCTGCAGTAAACATCGAAATTTTTTAAATAGTGCTACCAGAACCGAATGGCAGTCGCCATTTTAATGGTGTGACAGCAAATGACGTACATTGACACACGCTGCTCTACACGCCTACTTCAAATTAGGACCTACCGAGGATAATTTTTACATCATTTAATAGCATTATGGACTGCCTAAAGAAGTAGTGTGCTGGGCTTTGCTACCTTTGTAATAGAAAAAATATAATGTATTATTAGGTAATAATACATTATTTTTTCTATTGTAAACGTTCTGGAACGTAATTGAAGAAACATGTGATGTGAAGCCATATATTAATATACCAGATGTTTAATAATAGTCTTCCTATTATAACTGTTCATTGTAGAGCTCTCCTTCAAAGTCATCATCACGTAGGCGAGGAGCCACCAGGACCCCTAAAGTTTCTTAGAAGAAGCTCGTTACTTGGAAGGTATTGTAGATTTATTAGCTTTTATTGATTTAAAGGCTGAACTTGAGTTATACGCCAGTTGTACAAATACGGTAGTATTTGTCGTAGAGTCAAGGGTAGAGTCAAGATAAATATACAAGCGGGGCGATAGTCTATTTCCAAGTATATGTTGTGTATCCTCTTCTAAGGTACAGCGCCAGATCTCATCTCATCCCCTTACTTTTTAAGAAAGCTCCAGAAATAAAGGAAAAATTTGTTTATACAATTTTGCAGTTGTTTAGCGAATAAGGTTGCTCAATCGATGAAGCGAAGTGTTGCGGATGGCCATCATTTTCCCGTGAAGTATTATTTGAGGCCCTAAGTTGAAGCACTACTCTAAACAAAGCTCTGTTTCATATGTTGCAAAAATTTATCAACTCAAGAGATACTTAGTTGTTTGTAAAGTTTGTGTATAATTTTAAACATTTTCAGCACTCTAGATCTATCGACATGATAGTTCGACCATGTTTGTCACGAAACATGCCAACGAAACGATATGTTTTTTTCAGTTTTTTCATTTTCTAGTTTTACATATGCCCGAAGTCGGGATGCACTTGTATCGTGCTTTTTATTAATACGTTTAAAAGACGTGAAGGACCGTTTTGTGAATTTTTTTGTTTATTTAATGTCTGAGGGACGAACTGTTGTTTCGTAAACAATGACATATTCCATAAAGTGAAATACTAGATACGCAACGAATTCACTGATAAATCTACTTTAATTTAAATCACAATTATATGTGAATATATATGTGTACGTGTGGTTCGAACGACATTAAACTTTGATCTTTGACTCCGCCTCTCAGAAGTTTGTAATGCAATATCAGCCACTTCGTAAGGGTTATGTACGACTGCATAAACACAAATAGGGCTAACCTTGAATAAGAGTTCTACGTTTAGGACTTATTTAAACTTCCAGATCTAGGTTGTTAAGTTACAACTCACGCTAGACGGTGACAGAAAGGCGACGCGCATTCCTTTTCTGGAAATTTAATCTAGTTCACGCGTACCGAGCGAGAATAGCATAAAATACGTGTTGTTACCCTTTGTGCAATACGCGTTTACTGGACAGTGAGAGACAAGGTATCAGCAAACCAATCGTCGGATAGGCATCAGCACCTAACCCTAACGATATTTTGGTTTGATCATATTAAACTTCGATCTGCCTGCGCAAATGTACTCGTTGTAGAGCCTATTATATCTATGACGGCTCAGAAAATACAGCAGAGGAATTGGGGTGCCTCCTCTTTTACTAAGCCCACAACGCCTTTGACCCGCTCAATTTTGCACTTTTGCTATAGAAAACCAGACGACTTAAAGCGGTGTGCGGTGATGAAAAGGCAATAGATGCAATACTTTTATTTCTCTAATTTCTATTACAGTGGATATTTCCGTCAAAACTCTTCAACGACATCGCTGCATAGTTCGACTCCGTTGTCGACCGAAGCGCTTCGATCGGCGAGTGTTGTCTACGGACTGACCGCAGTTAGTGGGAATAGCGACGACCCACAAAGGAATTTTTCAATGCCTGCCATGCCCTTTGTTTCGGCCGCGGTGTCTAATCACAACGAGAATAGCAGCAAACAGAATCTAGACGGCGTCAAAAACTCCTTCTCTCATCATGAAATTTCGGCCAGCATTTCCCTATCAGAAGCAGGACAGGATCTTCGTATTAACATTGTAAGTCTAGGAGGGGACTGATGGAAAGGATTCATTTGCAATAGTTCTTTTTCTAAATGTTTGAGAGTGACCAAATCGTACGCTACCACATGAATAATTATGTGACGTATGTTGAAGGTGGGCGTTGTTGCGTACTCGTCTTGAGGATCGATAACAATTCAATTGGTTTCTGAACAGCTCCAACAGCTTTTTTCGGGTGTCCTGCGCGCTTAAAACGAAACTATCGTACCGCTTTAGTTAGAATCAATCTAGAAAGACACTTCATTAATATGCAATCTTGTGTAGCCGAGGCAATGGTCGCAGCATTAGCGCACCCTACAATGACCAAAATGATTAGGATAGTGCACGATATGCACGACTACGTTTGATCTGGACGATTCAATAGGTAACTGCCCATTCGTTACGGAATCATTTGGTGCTTTCGTGCATCTCTAGGTAGTGAAAAGGGCCTATTGTTTGGCTCTCAGGAGCAGGCCGTCTCACCGTACTGCATGGCAGATGTGACTAAATACAGAAACACAATTAGCGCACGTTATCTACATGCCACTTGGATGTCGCCAACACGATAGAGCGTGACAGTGGATAGTGGAAAAAATTTTCCCTTTAGCGCTAGCCACGACGGGCTCGATCAACGAATAGGGTTAAGATTGCTCAAATTTTTAGATTGTTGCAGACAGAACGATTCTAGTTAACTCCTGCTTGATTCTACCCCTTAATCATTAAATTATTACATATACCTTACCCACCTGTTAATAATCAGTTATAGAGAAAACATTATCAGAGAACCGAATTAGGCATGCACAACAGTGCCGTTCCTGCGCCCAGATTGGCCAAAACAGAAGACTAATCCAATTTAGCGGAGCTTACATCAACTGTGCACGTAACATTCCAGTGCTCCCGCCATATATGATCATTAGGTGTTCTATCGCTGCCAATAGTATTCCCTCGAACACAATGTTCGTCGAGGACTTGAGGCCGACGATTGCAAACGGAGCGACGGCTTTATGCTAAGGAGCGTTTACTTTGCTGCAGTAATTTCTCTACTGGGCAGCGTAAACGTTGGGCGAGGGACGGCTAGCGTCCAAGTTACCTGAATTAACCGCAGATAAAGCGGTAAATTCAGCCTGACTAAACATTCGTGTCAACAATTAAATGTTGAACGAATCAAAACAAGTGGGGCTTTCATCATACATTTGTCTATCAGGTTCAAACATGCGACCAGGCGCTACTGCCATATCAGTTCTGTCGCTTGGTGCTACGATCACTGAAAGCGCGACACCTGAACGATGGGGTACAAGGTTGTGACTTCAATAACTATTTTGAGCTATTTGAACTATTTGAGAAATTTTCAAATGGTTTCTATAGTTCAATTGAAGTTGAGTCAAAGTTAGTAATGGAGACCATTCATTATCTTTCAAGAATGATCTTGTTAAAAAATCGCGAGTCGAGCATAGAATGAATGAGAAAAAACATGCATCTATCCATCTATCTATCTATCTATCTATTAGATGACAAATACCAATAAACTGAAATAGTTAGAAACAATCTACAAAGGCACTTCGTTAATGTGCAATCTTGTGTAGCGGAAGCAATGGTTGTAGCCTTAGCGCACCTTATAATGACCAAAACAATTAAGATACGCACGACGGCATTTGATTTAATAGGTAACTGCCCGTTTGTTATAAAATCGTTTGGTGCTTTCGTGCATCTCTAGGTAGTGAAAATAAAATAAAAATCTTTATGGGAGATTTCCGTTAGGGGGTACTCTCATCAGAATGGGCAATATTTTATAAGAAATTATGGCAATCGTTTGTACTAGCTTTATGCAGTTGTCTACTGGGTTCCTATGTTTAAGACTTCGTTTTAGCCTCGGCCTGTGATGTCGTAGGTGCATCTCGCTTCTTCTCAATTGAGAACAAAAAGCGACTTTAAACGTGGTAACTTGAAATCCCCTAATCATGAACAACAACTGTATGTTTAGGTGAGAACGAGCGTTAATTTGAAGCTAATAATTTTTACTTCAAAGTTAATTATCTGTTCACTGTTGAGCTCGAAGTGAGGTGAACATTTGATGCTAGGGTACTATACATTCGTGTGCATGCTCAATCTCTTAAAGCCGGTCGCGGAGGACAAAGCTGACCTGAAAAGCAAGGAGAAAGAATCAGTGGAAAAGGCCAACAAAGACAATAAGGAAAACAAACAAAAATCACTGAGCAGTGGCCGACCTGCCTTCACCCGAAACAACTCCTCGCATTCCGTCAGCTCACAGGTATTTTACTCAGGAGTTTTCATCTGTCAATCAACCTCAGGTCATAATAGGAGACCATAAAGCTCATCCTAACAACGATGACGGAACGAAGCACTAAATGCTGTTTTGCTAGTTCCGATTTGCTGGTGTATCTTCGGGCCAAGAGAAGATTATTATGAGCATTAAGTTAGCTGTTCATTATGCTTTTCTGCATATAGCCTATATATCGATTATCTAACTTACTCTGAGCGGTTGCGAACTAACTTGCTGACTAACTTAGCTAATACAGTAATAGTTTAATCTGTCCGAAAAACAAATTGTGAGATCCAAGTAATAAACAGAGCAAACATTTTTTTAATTAGCCACCGCATAAGATATCATTAGCAATATTCAAGGAACTTGTTCGTTAAGGTTCGTGTCTAAAGAGCGGAAGGTCGCGTGCAGTTGTTGTTGAATGGCGTTAGCCAGCTACGTTGAGATGTCATGGTAGTAAATAAGGGAAAATTTCTACGGCCTCCTCTAGTCAGTGAACATTGCGTTACATCTATTACATTGTATACCAATTCGATTTTAGGAAATGGATGGACATCACCAACAAGCTATACTAAAGCGGATCCCGGAAGGTGAGACATCGCGCAGTCGTCTTTCTCTGAGCTTTCGAAATCACTTTGTCTTAACCATTCAGTTTTAGGACGCAAAACATCGTTTCCTCTCTTTTTTTTTGTTTATAATGCATCTTTCTGTGATGCAGGACAGCACATGCATCTACGCAGCCGCTAATGCTACCGGAGCTTCGAACTTCATTCATTATTTTAATCAATACGAAAACGCTATATCTTCAATCAAGCATCTAATACGTTTTTACCCGTCTACTCGAATAAAGCTTAGCCCCAGTTTATTTAACTCAAATTTAATTACTATAGCAGAAAAGGGGCTCTCGTTCAGGATCTTTCGATTGAATTTAAATACAGCTCAAGTTACCTTACACAGGGTCAATATCACAATAGCTTTATTCATTTTGATTGTTGGAACGGTCATCTCTTTAGCATCGTTGCTACATGAAAAAGGCTGTAATGTTCCTTTTCTATTATAGTGACAACAGTTACCTCGCGTACCGTACGTATATTCAAATAATTTAAATATCTATTATAAAATAAATATTAGAAGCGTTGTACAATGTCATATTTGCAACAATCTAGACGTTTAGAATAATTATGATATTCATCGTACCTGTATCTAACAAAAGGATACACGTTTCACAAGTGGTGCTGTACAGAATGTGCGTTACCTACATGCCTTTCAGAAGTACGTAATTTACGTAACGTAAATTAGGCTTTACGACTAAAGTTGTTATTATTATGTAGAATCTTCACTATTGAACAGAGACAGACTGTAGCTGATTGACTTATCTAAACTCTATGTCAGCTAACCTTAAGATACAGCGTGTAACTCCAGGATCCCTAACAAAGTTTGAGCCTGTATTCGTTTATTGTTGAAAAGATAGATTAAAAGTATTTAGATTTAAGGCCAGCGTATTTTTGCTAATTTGAGAACATAATCACTTTGACGACGGCACTGAAAAACAGCATTTTTTGGCTTGTTTAAGCCCGACTTTATTTGTATGGCTTCAACTCTGCGTAAAATAAATATATGGCTGGGCATTACTTCGAAGCGACGCGCTCTATTTCGAAAATATCTATGCGACATAGGCTCTATCCCAGACGATTAGTGGGCGACGTTTAGGAGGCAATATCTGCTTGTGTAAGTCAGATGTTGCCTCCTAAACGTATATATAATCGTTAACTTTTTTCATGGAACCCCCTCCATCCGGAAGTTCATATAACCCAATGATTTAACGTGCTTAATTCACGCGATATCCAATTATTTACATGAACCATAATTTCTTCTTGTCGTAGGCGGTCTACCTTATCCAAACCTTCTTTGATAATTTGACCTTGTAAAATGGCGAAATTCCGTTAACATTGTAACTTCACTAAATCTAATCAGAATGATTGAACGGGCTACAACACAGTAATAATATAGTCTCTACCTCTGCAGATTCTGAGGGTATCAGCGTAATGGTGGCTGGTCTACGTTCGCTCGAAAAGACAACGGTTGCATTTGTGAGATTGGCCGATTCTCAGGTGTTGCCTAACGTCATTGAGGTGCCTCTTCCTGTCAGGTACCAATTCCAACCCGGTTTAGGTAGCTTTGCTGATTAGAGAGACTTGGTTGGTATTCATTACAGGCCGAATTAGTCGTTGATGTGTACCCATTTCGAGTCCCGAACTCGCACGAGGACAGTAGCATTTGTCCTGTTTCCGAATAGCAACAACCGGAGCGTACTTACACCGGAATGATATTACATTCGATCACACCGTATCTAATTAGATTTCATGTTTTGTGCAGATTTTTGTTCGTGTGTTTGGGACCTGAGGAGAATGACATAGACTACCATGAGATCGGAAGATGTATATCCACCCTTATGTCAAACAAGGTATGTCTAAATCTTCATTTTGCCTCGTTCTCTTAGAGTTGCTATTCAATCGGCGCTACAGTCAATGATACCTTCAGCTTTTACAGGACAGTGGGTCTTAGGTCAATTCGGATTTGGCGTTGAGCGCTTTTTGGTTCGCTTCAGCTTGAAGGAAAGAGCTCGAAATAAATAGTTTTAGTTATTGAAATGATCGATCAGCTTGAATTACTTGAAGTTACGTAAATTTAACTAATGGAAACTAACAAATGGCGCACTTTTTTGAGTCGGGCAAGTTTTCTGTCTTCTAATAAAGTCTTGACTTTCTAGAATTTTCACGAGGCAGCATACGCCGCCGAAGGACGAGCTGACCTCTTGAAGGCCTTTAATCAGTTTCTGGGTAAGTTGGCACAAGTGGCTATAAACAAAAATGGAGGACAATATCCGAACTTGTGCATAGTGACAAAAATGTTCTGTACATGAATTGGTGTATTTTGATGTTTGCTTCGTCGACATGACACGAACACGTCCACCTCGTTCGCGTGTATTTCAAACGATGGTAAACAGGTGAAACAATAGTACTTCCACCTGGTGACTACGACAATAAGGCACTCCTTCCCGTCGAAGAACTGCGCAAAAAATCTGAACATATCCGAAGGAGAAGGGAGCGCATGAAACGGCTGTCGAAGAAGCAAAGCTACAAAGACGACAAAACGGCCGCTCGATACGGGCAGGATCCGAGCGTTTATTTCAACTATGTTAACGGTAAGTGGCGTTCAAGTTCCGCGATGCGAGAAATAATTGGCACATAACTTTATAGGGTGTGTCATCGAAACTAAGCTCTTTAAATATATTCCAACTTTAATCAACACGCGATGCAGGCGTAACGGTGGCGTACGAGTTGCGAACATGGCTTCAGTATTACTCATTAGCCATTTGGGCAGCAAACGACTTGGGTGTGCTTATTTCGTAGGAATAACTGGGTTCGCTCACTCTATCTGTTCATGGGTATTTGCTTTATTTTGTTGGCAATAGAATATCCTATGCATAATGCCACGTTCGATAAACACTTGTTATAACAGAACTATTGACGGCCGTTGACATTTCAGCGTTAGACAGCGCTAAAAAGGGCGGAGATGATTTTGCCCCGCTACGTAGAACCGGACGGCTCTTTGGTGGTTTACGAAATGAAATTTCGAAAAGGTTAGTTGATAGATCCTCGTGATTTCTAAGGTTAGGTCGGTATACATGCAAGATTAGCGCAACTGTAGCGCCCCGAACGTTGGTTAAGTTCTAAGTTAAGAAAGCTACAATAGTGAGGTTACAGCACAAACTAATAGCAACCTTAATTAGATGGGCACAAGTGAACGTGCTGCACGAAAGTGAGCAGCGACGTGAAACGTCCTTGGGCTAGACCGCCAGGCTCAGGCTGTACAGATAGGACGCACGTTATAACCAGATAGAGAGTTCGATACAAGTGTGTGTGAGCGCCAGAGCGGTCACGCTGAGTTCGGCGCTCTGAAGAAATCTATCCGTATTACTGACATATTCGAATCGAATACGGGCATAATGTAATAATGTGCCAGGTGCCTAAGTTTACCTAATTTTGGCCAAAAAAAAAAGACGTACCTATGATACGTTATTACACAGTGCCGACCGCGGTTCGACTATAGAACATAAAATATTAGGAAATAAACTATGCGCTTTTACCAATGACAACGTTACTACGTTAAACCCGAATAGAATATTTGTGCTTTTCTGTTTATGCACACGGTAGATACCCGCAGTACTTGTCCGATCTAACAGACGGCTTCAACGGTCAGTGCCTCGCTACGGCTATTTTCATCTACTTCGCAGCCCTGGCTGGTGCAATAACGTTCGGTGGACTGCTGGGTATGCCATTACGTTTACCTATATAAAGGAGTAGTAGTAAGTTTACATGAATTAAAAATGAATAGCAGTGAATCGTGCGCACAGCTCGACGATGTGTTTACCTATTTCTCTAGGCACGCTTCGAGTAGCCAGAGGATAAGATGAAATCTATTCGAATACCTTTATCTTTAGTCTTCACAGTAACTTTTTCATATATACAAATAGCATAACTATAGGTCACTAGAAAGATGTCTAGATTATTTGTGCGTGATCCCTAGGTGACAAAACGGAAAATTTGATCGGAGTCTCCGAGACGTTGCTGGTGACCTTTGCCGGCGGAGTCTTTTTTGGGATGTTGGCCGGACAGCCTTTGATTATCGTAGGCATAACCGGACCGGTGCTTCTATTCGATGAACTTCTTTACAATGTAAGCAATCTCGTTTCGTTAAGGCAAAATTGTATCTTAGCTCTTCAAGGAGTCGGATGTGTCGTCTGGCCTAAACAATCAATTGACTCGCTTAGGTTTGACTTAACGATCAACACTATATGTAAATTACATGCGGGCAGTGTAACCGTTATCAGTCGATGCATCGAAAATTGGATGAAGTCTGGCTATCGAACTTCAATAATTAATGGCTCACCTCATTACCGTTTTTTCGATGGCTATATCGGGAATGATTTGCTGTAGTTCTGTAAGGAGCACACGATCGATTTCCTCGGCGTTCGGGTGTGGATTGCAGCCTGGTGCGCCCTTATCGGCCTATTGGTATGCGCGTTCGAGATGTCGACATTCGTCTGTTATTTTACGCGGTACGTATTATGATGATTAGGCAAGGAGGAAAGAACGCACTCGGTTTGGTGGGTTTTCCGTCTGCTGATTTCTTATTTTGAGCATCGGAAAGCGTCCGACCTAACGCATTAGGTCTAAAAATGATCAAACGCGCTTGATTCTACTTGTGAGGTTTCTTTCACTGATCGTTTATTCGTCGTATTTCAGGTTTACTCAAGAGATATTTTCAGCGCTAATTTCACTTCTGTATCTCTACGAGTCTCTCAATAAACTCCGCATCGTGAGTATGTCCTATTGTCATTGTGCCGTTAACATAAGTAGGACGTTTCTTTGAAAGTATATTTCTATAACTCACAAATGATCGATTTGATTGTGCCGCGGGCCAACTCCTTGCCATCGGCAATAAACTCGAACTGAAAGTCATTTAGCTTTCATCTGCCAAAGATTATACAAAGACTGTTCACATTCACTTTTCTAGATCTTCGTGAATAACCCCCTGCTGTCGGTCGATGAATACATTTATATACATCGTCATGGTCCGGAATTGTTAACTCCTTTCACGACAGTTGTCGCCCCGTCTATAGCTGCCTTAACAAATCCCGTAAATAACAGTGATACAGTCACCATCTTGGGTTTACCCCAGGACCCAAGTCCAGTCAGTGTAGCTGGATCGACCGGCAGTAATCATAGCGTTCTGGGTAAGTGCAGACTGTCGTCGGTAACGGTCAAAAACGATTCCTTTTTATCCCATCGTATACACGTATTATATATTCACAACAGGAAGTAACTGTACAGCTGAACTTTGAGTGCCGGTTTTGCCATATACCGAACGCAGGATCCGCTCGGGCTAATTTTACAGTTTTGCTTATTTCGTATTTGCCAAGCAGCCGTATCACAGTTGGCGTATTCGAGCTCTTCACGAGTAAGCTACAATCAGCCGAATACGGCCCTGATGAGTCTCGTGCTCATGTTTTCCACGTTCCTAATCGCGGACTTCTTCCGCCGCTTCAAGACCTCTAAGTTCCTGTCGCGGCCGATCCGCGTCACGATGGGTGACTTCGCTATGCCAATCGCCATTGTAACAGTTGTCGCAGTCGACTACATAGTTCCTAACGTCTACACACAGGTGACTAAGGAAATTTATTAGGGAAAACAAATGCTATTATATATACTGAATATTATCAACATCACCGAGGTAGAGCGTACGCTTACTTGTATGACTCGAATGAATTAGTCATACATAATAACGATGATAATACGTTTAGAGATATATTTTGATTAAAATTTATGATCAAATATAAATTAGGAAAGAGCAAAATGGGGGAGATGTGTATTGCATTTGTCTTGTTACAAAACTTGAACTTCTCATAAAATTAAAAAAAAAAATTGGATTTCATAAAAAAGTATTTTTATCTGACTCGCAAATGACCGATTTTAACCTGCGATAATGAGTAGAAGCTGTCGGTTCCTGATGGTCTATCAACGTCGACTCCGACACGCGGTTGGCTGATTAGCCCATGGGGCCGATTTTCGCCGCTGCAGACGTGGCATATTGGCGTGGGCGCCCTTGGAGGGCTCCTTGTCTTCATACTTCTTTTCTTAGAAGTCGAAATTTGTCAGTAAGTTAAACGTAAAGATATAATAACACGGGTATACATCATTTGCACGGTTGATCCGAAAATTGAACTAAAGCATTTTATTTCTATGTGTAATCTATTACCAAGACGACGTTATAACTACGAATCATTCATGTATTTCTGCTCTAACGTCAATCTAAACTCTGTCGTATAAAAATACTCTATTATAGATTGAATATATCCTATGAGAGGTGCTCAATAGAGGTAATAATAAAACGTTTTTTTCGCATTACGTGGGGGTTTATACAGTTGCGCACTTACCAACTGAGTAAAGTGCGCACCTTGATCGATAATCAAAATTTACCTCATTTATTTTTCTTGCATATATGAGCTGTTGTATTGTTTTGTACGTCCTCCCTTTATAGGTTAATAATGTCCAAGAAAGAACGGAAGACGCACAAGGGAACAGGCTTTCACCTGGATCTTCTACTTATTTGCTTCATGGAATTGGGATGTGCCTTTACCGGAGGTCCTTGGCTTTGTGCCGCTACAGTGCGGTGTGTCTCGCATCTTTGTGCCCTTACCGTGATGAGCTCCCGAGTGGCTCCTGGCGAAACGCCCCAGGTATTTCCGACTAAATTCGACATACATCATCAAATACTTCCAATATATTCGATTGCTTGTACTCACACATACTTATCTGACGCTATTGCAGAGGTAACAGCATTAGAACTACTTAGTAAGCTTGCCGATGGGCAAACATAACCTTTCTTCTTGCAAAGTTAATTAATGTAAAAATTGTAATATTTCTACAGGTCGAGGGTGTCCGGGAGCAGCGGGTTACTGCTGTCCTCGTATCTCTGCTGATTGGTTTATCGGTGCTCATGGGCCCAATGTTGCGACAAGTACCCGTTGCCGTTCTCTTCGGGGTCTTCCTTTACATGGGGTATACTTCCATGATGGGTACGTTTAATACATATAATAAATCGACGGGGATCGGGAATATATGTATATATATATATATTCAAGTAATTTATCATCACGATATATCGATAGCTACTCACTATCGATCACATAGAATATATAGGTCGCATATATTACACTGGGTCATTTGTTAAGTATTCAAATGAATCAAACCCACCGCCGTTAAGCTGTTAAGTTCACCGTCTGCATTAATTTACATTTTATTTCAGTGCTTGGAAAATATATATACATATAAATAATAATACTTAATAGTAGTGAAATAAAATGATCAACAGAGATGTGTGTACGATCCATTTGTCTGTCGCCAATAAGGCTATCCAACAGAAAACACCTGATAAACAAGCTGAAGTTGTTTCTGTTTACTACAATGCTAAGCCACATATGGCGTGGCCTATTAAGGCATAGTTGAGCCGAAGGCTTTTCTTCACTCATTATCATCATCATCATCAATTTCTAATCTCGCGCTGATGAGTCGAGTCATCGTTTTTTCGACCATCGGGAAGGTTGAGTTCGTAACGGGACATTTGGCAATGTAGAGGGTTTTAAAGCTGGCTGAACATAGTGTTTGACACTAGACCTGAAATTTCATTTCAAGTAAAGGGGCCATATTAGATAATAGTGTTACATTTTGTCCGAAATAAGCATATTTAGCTATGGCTAATTATCAGCGCCTGTAGGAGCTCGCCTGGACTCTTCTATGTTTGCTAGACATAATTGCTGGTTACAGAATAGAGAGTCTGTAGCATTCATCGAAATACGTTCGATTTGCTTCAAACGGAGCTGTCACTGAACCTCCCGACTGTCCGGACATCTACGCTAAAAACTGAATTAAATCTTGAAGACAGCGAGAGTTGAGGATTAATAATACTGATCTACTACAAATAGCTGACAAGCTAGCGGTCCATCGGCCGGATTTATCAGGTCTCACTAGATCTGTATATCCGCTTGCGATGTCCTAAGGCTAACTTTTGTTTACCTATTAAAAAACTGGTCTGAATTTCGAAAAAAAAAAACCACGGCATTCGACAGCTCTAGCCATGTGTTACTGAAGATAGTGTACGTCGTTATGTCTGCTAGTACGATACTGCTAGTTCGTGTGATTTTTTAGTAAATATTTTGCATCAACTTCCACCCATTACGTTCCGCACAATAACGTTAGTATGGTCCCTATAATAACAGCATTACTTCCAGGTCTCATCGTCGAATCAATAGGCTCGCATTGCTTGACACTGCCTGAAAACGTCGCTTCGTCTAATGCGACAAACATTCCCATTTCACCAAACCAGACATCCACAGATTCAATTAACTATATAACGATGCTAAATAGAGCTATTTAAAATGTATTCAAGACGAAAGACACACTTTAGTTTGAGGCGGATTTGTCCAGGACAGTGGTGACCTGGGAAAAAAAAACCTACTTCTAGGCTATCTTTGCCTAACAACGCGTTTCTAATGGTTAACATAAACGACGAGACGATAGGCGTTCATTGGCTAGAGAAAATAAGTAAAATCACATTATAATCGTAATTATGAAAACTTCGGTAAACCACACAGTAGCCCAATTGGCTGAAATAATGTGTGAACGTGAACATGTGGGTATTCTTTGCATTTTCAGAAGCCAGTTTGACAAGAAACTGGGTCAGATTTTGCAACGGGCAACACCGAAAAGGCGGTGACAGACGTGTCGGTCCGACAACGTCAAAAAAAGGGTTCCAATGGAGCAATGTATGATCAGACAGAGTCTACATCTGTAGGAGACAATGACACAAACCGCACTCTTACAGCTAGAGCAATATCTATTTTAACTGTAAATATACTTTTTCCTCTATGGACAACTTATTGTAGCTCTGTTGTATGTCTGCTTTACTCTGCCTCATAGAATTGTACAAGTGTTCTGTTTTTCTTATAAGACGACGAAAGTTTAAGTATTATAGAATGAGTACACTTTATAATATACACTTGCTTTATACAACACATGTTCATTCATTTGTTAAACTCAATATCACGTAGGAAATTTAAAAGGGTTTTTATTATTTTGTTGTTCGAGAGTTGAAAACATGGCAGAATTATCCGGACGATGATGGGCGCAATCGAACAAAATGTCTCCGTAGAGACGCTGATCCGATTAGATTGGAAATACGCTCGATTCACAAAAGACCATAACGGCCACAGTCATTAAAAATATATGAAGCTTTTAAGCTTCATCAATTCTGTATCCGTTAAGCTGAAGCACACTTATTTACTCATGCTTGCTCAAGCTTATCAAGCACTGTTGACGACGTTATCCATCCGGACAATAAGTGTAATGTCTATGAGCTGTGGAGTAAGTTGTCTAGATGATAGCCACGAGATAAAACCAACCAGTATATCTACTATCATCGTCGTGCATTAAGACTTTCGTTTCTTAACTTGATTACAGGCATTCAGTTTTTTGAGCGAGTGATCTTACTTCTTAAGCCGACGAAGTATTTTCCGCCGGTTCCCTATGCCCAGAAGGTCCGGGCCCTCAAGATGCACGGATTCACCCTTTTACAAGTATAATTAATTTATGATATTCTACATAAACTATTAAAGGTAGATAGTCGGCAGAGCATTGTAGAGCAGGTTAAGGAATAAAATCTTCGCGAAAGAAAAAGTACATTTATAGCACATAATCGTTCAAAAATGATGTGTCCTTCCTTTTTTGCTTGCGATAAGCAGCCATCTTCTACCGATAATGCTTTTATCGATTTTTACGGAAAAACGTGCTATCACGTGAAAATCCACTTCAAATTAAAGCCCCACATTTATACTGTACCAATTTATTGCGATACTTTAGTTTTATCTAACTACTGTTTACCATTGTTTCAGATTCTATGTCTAACACTTTTATGGTTTGTGAAGCAGAGTTCGTTTGCTCTGGCGTTCCCATTTGTTCTTCTTTGTATGATTCCGATCCGGCTATCACTCAAGTGGCTCTTTACCGAACGGGAGCTACAGCTGGTCAGTATCATCGTATATTTTTTTTAAGTTTTTTCTACTCTTTATCTAGTATAATTACAATAAATATACTTCCGAATCCCGTCATTGCTGCAAATTCGGTGGCAATGGCGGGCTTCAAGGGGGTATGGGCGACTCATCCTGCCATTCCCTGGAAAGTTAGCAGCAGGCTGAAGGAACCGGATCTAAATGGCTGGAGAAAATAGCTCTTCTAGTCATTAACCGACAGTGGCCACAAGAACAGGTCGTGTGACGCGTGGGGGCACCTCTACATGAACCGGCCCTAATACGGTATGATTTAGAGATCGTACGAAAGGTTTCTCTAACCATTGGTCAAGCGGAAGAAGAGTTGATCAAGGCCGATGCGGTATCGTTGTCGGGAACGGGGCAGCTTCTGGGTCAATTACCTCTGTGTAGGCCCGTCAAATATCAGGCCACGTCAGTGCAGTCACCCCGATATTCCTAAGGGTCGCCACTCCTTGGGAATTTGAAATCGGATGTTGAAGTGGAAGGTGTGGAGTTAATCCGGGTGGCACTGGCCACCGGCGCAGAGACAAATGCCGTCTCGGCTGGGTCCTTAAAATACTCCAGTACATAGTTTCAGGTTCGCGCAGCCGAACCATGGACCATACCAAGAAAATAAAACTTGCAATCGGAGGGGGCCAAGTGGAGGTACGACAGTTTGGTCCGCGATATCATTTTCAGACAGCCATTCCAAATAAACAATTTGAAATTAAACCATATGATGTATATATCAGTCGATTGTAATGGGGGTGTGTCGGGGTGATGTATATATCGGTCAGTTTACGGAGGGCCAGTTAATACAGCGGCACTCGTTTAAATGGGTAATTGAGACCAACAAGTTACTGAGGTCTACGGTCCAAGCAAATGGGGTTTTTCATGTATCTTTTTAAGCACTTTGGTAACTGCGTATAGATTGGTGACTATTAACCCGGAAACGGCACGCAAAGTTTAATCATCAACTTTGAGCGACGATCAGTTTATGCGAAAGAAGGGATCAACTTAGGCCGTGCTCAGGTATGTGTACTATCGACCAGGTCGGATGTCTCCGATACGCTACTGCGTTCATCAGAAGGGCCGCTACAGTTCCACCTTGACAATGGTTGAAATTAATTTCTGGTGAGGTTGCTACTTGATTAATTAGGACGTTACTTCGAGAAGCCGGGGGAGCTACAATCATTCCACAGCTACCAATGGTCACTTTTTTTTTTCGTGGCGAATCACGTCGGGGCAACGGGTTCGCATCACAAAAGAAGTACAGGCCTCTCACTATGAAGTTGTTACAAAGTATTAATCCAAATGGGCGAATTTTGGGTTGGCTAATGTCCTCGCGTCATTTCAACAACTGATAAGCCGGGTACTGCGGAAGTTGCGGTACCAAATGGCTCTAGTTTAACTTATGTTCGTTATGTTCTTTCGGGGGTTCAAGGAATACCTACACCATTTCCAATGCTGTCTTCAGTACCGCCAGTTTACATTTTAGGAGGTCGAAGTGTTCGTTCGTAATTCAGAACGTCATATACATCTTTCCCGTTAGAATCTATGAATATTCAAGAAAGGGCGCGGCGATGGATGCCCTAGTGCCACCCACTACTGTTCTTCCGTTACGGAGCTTTCTTGGGCTGGCATCCCATTACCGCCGTTTTGTGCAAAACTTTGAAATTGCAAACTAAAATTGCAAAAAACGACGCGTTAAAATCGAGGATCCTTTTCGCACTCATCGTGCCTCATCAGGAAATATTTCTCTGCTTTTAAGGAGACCCTGATCAGTAAATCGATCTTACAATATCCTCGAAAAGACTGGTGAATAGAAGTACAGACCGATGCGAGCAGCGCTCGGGGTGATGCTCGTTTACTTAGACGGGGACGTCGATTGGGCGGTAGGTTAGGCGAGTGGGCATGCCTAGGTTCAAGACGCAAAGCCGAATTTGTCGGAGACGGCACGTTTTGCTGTTGTTTAGGTGGTAAAGAAATCCCATCCATATCTTTATAGACGGCGGCTCCTGGCAACAGTACGGTTAAATACCTGCAGAACAAGAGGAACTTCTGCCTTAAGCAGGCTCGATGGGCCTTAGACGTGTTCGAATACGATTTCGATCTGTGGCATGGCAAATCATAACATGAAGAATGAAAGAGCCGACCGATACCTTTTATGGGGCTCTTAGATTTCATATGACCGTTGCGTGTGTTCGGATAGACGTCTTTGCTTGTGCTAGTAGGTATAGCTTATTGCACTCGTTTTGTTCATCTTTTCCCGGTTTGCCACACCAGAGCATAAACTGTCGTAGAGGCCCTTTCTGTTTCTCAGAACCTGTTCGGGGATATTTTCAGGACGCGGCCGCCACAAATGACGCTAAATACTTACGCGGACAGTGTGTATGTCAATATCTAGCGCGTTCCAACAGTCTCTATGTGAGGACTGCCGCAGCCCATCTGCAGAGAAATGGGCGGGTGGAGCAGACGATTCACACGGCCATGGAACGCCACCCCGCGTATCTGCTGCAATCGCCCGGCTTCTTCATTCCATGACGGTTGCCTCCACAGAAAATACTGTGCTCAGCGAAGTTTTAAGCTAATTTTTCCACGAAGTAAAGGCCGTGACGCCAGAAATACCACCGGAGTTGCAATTAGCCCAAAAGCCAGACCGTTCAGTATCCAAGCAGCAGATAGAGGCCTAGTTTCACCAGTGAAGGCAGATCTCCGAAAATACAGCCCCCTCGTCGAGCGTTTCGGCTCGTACGTTCTTTAAAACTTGGGAAACTTCTAGGTTCTAGCTTATTAGAAAAATATTTCTTATTTTGTTTTTCAAAATTGTTTGCGTTCCCTATTTCGAGAAACTTTTACACCTAGATATTATAAAAATCTTCAATGGCAGTTGAAAACTGGCAGTAAAAATCATGGTATCTAGCGAGCATGAGGTTTGGCCTAATATGTTAGGGTGTTAATAGTATCGGTCCATTACCACGAATCCGGGCAACAAAAGTGAAAAAAAAAAAAAAAAGGCGCTGTGTTCGAAAAAAACGTACCTGAAGCGCCAATTACTGTCTTCAATATGCTTCGTGTAGGTTTGAAATATCTGAAATTTATCCAGACAAGCGAGTTAAACCTTGTTTGTAACAATCAAAATGGCGAAATGATATAGTAGTATATAGAAATATATAGAGATAGTAGTAGAAAATGATATAGTGGAAATAGAGGTGTAGCGTAATGTGTTATTAAACTGTCTAGGAAACTCGGAAGTTGTTTCTCCAGTCACTTTACGCGTGGCTTTTGTCTTTTGTACATGAAGAAATATTCCTGCTAAACAGTCATCTTCCGAAGCTAGCTACCAGCAAGACACCGAAGACTGTGCCTATTAATAGGTTACATCGGAAGAGACCCTGAGAAGAAATAGAAGCTGGAAGTATTACAGTTGATTTTTACTATCTGCCGGTTGGTAGAAGACGGCTTATGTTGTTCTACTGTATTTTAACTGCGTTGTATGAAAATCTAGATTGGGAAGAGGCGATGAGATTAATACGCCTTTTCTGGCATCTCTATCGAACTATTTTTACTGTTTATTGAATAAGAAAAATGTAATAAACGTATCACAATGTAGGTCGGTGGAACGTATTAGATCAACTTTTAGGCGTACAGCTCGTCCTGGCTAAAAACGAGGCGTAACACATGTGTACTTTTCAGCTGGATGGTGAGGGTCCTGTACAAGATCCACCTGAAGACGAATCTCTTCGCCTGTGATACATAAGCATCATTTGAATAGATTAAACGGATCAATGTTAGCTGAATATTAGCTGCAGCCTCATCAGACAGACGAAGCAGCGTTAGCTTATTTGATTCTTCATTATACTGACGAAAATTCCGCTACTTTTTGAACGGGTAAATTAAGTTAATGTAAAGTTGTAGGTAAAAGTTGCTAGCCTTATGGTCGTTTCCCAGACGCACATAGAAACGCTAGCGCAACAAAATAACAGGAACGAAGTTACACTTTCTATTTTGCGACAGTCTTTTTAACACTTGGGAGTAACGAGTAACCAAACAGTAATTGAGTATAGCCCTATCCTTATATCATTAGCGTACATATCCGATAATTGTAAGTTATGTGAACTCCATAGGGAAATTCTCGGCAACAGGTCTAACAAAAGTCGTGAAACAACCATTCTGTGACTTGATTGATAATTGCAAGATAGCTTCCCATGCAAAAAGGGCCTGTGCCCGTTATGGTATACGCTGCCACCACAGAAACAATCAAAACCAGATCTATTTAACTAAATCTAAAAATGCAACTCAAGTCTTCTAATGTTTAATTTTTCTATAATAAAAAATCGATTTTTTTCGTCTTGGACTAAATGGATTTAGGCCCTTTTGCACTGAAATCTTTCATATATATATATATATATATATATATATATATATATATATATATATATATTCGTGGATATGCAAACGCGTTATCTTGTTTCTGTTAGGGAAGCATAAGAAAACTTTTGCGGTTTAACTTGTAGTGGTGCTACTCTATAAACATTACTAGTACTTACCACGGAATAGACACGGAACTTTTATTAAAAACCGTTGTGGACGTCTACGGCAAACTAATATACTATATATATATGGCGTATTAGTTTCTACGTAGACATGCAGATTGTCATATTTATATATAGTAGTGTTGTTGCATAGAAGCATTACTATATAAAAATGTAGATAAAGGCTCCAATAATGTTTATCCAGATGCGAAGAAATTGTCAAAATAAATAACGTTCGTCTACCATATTTCATTGGCGGTGTGTTATATATATGTACGAGATTTACCGATGTGTAGAACACCAACAGACAATCTGACTTCGTTAAAGTTAATAGTTACATAGTAGTGCGTAGAATTTAGTAAATTATATGAAGAATATAATTAACAGAATGATTGAGAGCTTGTTCAACTATGGGAACTGTCCTGCGAGTAAGCCGTCTTAAGATAAATTCAGACAGTTATTATAGATCATATAAAAACTATAATGAAATATAAATGAATTTTGTCTCGCCCTCACTGAGTATCGAATAAAGTATATTTGCATAATATAATTACTCTGTGTAATGTTAAATTTGATGAAAATTACAAGTACATGCATATATATGCCTACTGACATAAATATCAATCCTTTACTAGGGCATCGGTGATGATCGTAGAGATAGCTGAAATACCTCTTACAGGATAACCTTGTGGAGCCTAACATAAGGAATGAACGGCCTGAAGGAAGACCTTGGACGGATCCCATAAAAGGGTGACTCAGGTTCCTTACAGAGAATCTGATAATTGTCAATCCATTCTGGAAATAGAATTCCTTCTATCCTCCTTACCATGAATAAGAAAATAGTTATATACTCTCGTGGGAACTGAGCGAGACTTCGCGTCATGCCCAAAGCGATCGTCGCGTAACCGATCGCCAAGTTCATACTTACTACACCATGTGCATAAATCGCACACTACATATTCTATAAATTACATGTTTCTGTATTATGTAATATTGTCATCTCTCTTGGCACCTGTAGGCTAAACGAAACAATGTGTTCTGATACCTTACATGGCCATACATTTACCATTAAATGCTCTAGATACCAAGCAAGTTTGGTAAATTTGTAGGTAATGAACATTTAAAGGTGGCACTGAGACTCATAGAAACAGAATCGTTTTTCGAAGCCTAGAAACAGACCGTGGTGACGTTGCACTTCACTATGATGGTATTATATACGTCTGATATATGTAAAAACGACTACGATCCTGGAGCAAATAAGGCATCTGCCTAAATCAGCCTTCAATTGCGGTCAAATGCGGTTCTACTTAGTACTAAACATATGCAGGAAATAGCCTTCAGTCACAGTTACGTAGTTAGGTACATCGTTCAAATATGGCTAGGTGACTCTTGAATATTCAAACTTACGCGCCGCTTTTTGAAAACACATCAACAATTGATGCACAGTACCCCAATAAAGCTATGTTCAATTGCAGGACATGCAGTAACAGCTAGAGTAATGCACTGAGAAAGAAATCTCAAAGTGAAGGTAGTAATCGGTAAATTAAAAAAATAATGGGTGTCAAGCGGGCGGTGATGTAATTCAGCACAATTGGGCCGACGATATCTTGATGCCCATTTCAGCTAAAATTCGAAAAATTTCGTTGGATGGAGAAACTCGAAGTAGAGTCCAAAGTAGTAAAGAAGTAGAGGCCAAAAGTAAGATCGTGAAAGTCACATGGACGGTCCGGTAAATGACGGGGAGCGGTAATTCAGCGCTCCCTACTATGTTTTTAGTTCATTTTTGGACCAAAAAGTGCCATTGCTAAAGGACGCTTTAAACTTGTTTAATACCATACATATTACGTCATGTAACAAAGCAATAAAAACATCGATATGTACTCAACACGAGACTCACAGGATGGTCGAGTACCAAGCTAGCTGGCTTTAATTACGAACAATAGTAGAAACAGTGAATTTAGATACGAAAGGTATAATTAAATAAACCGAACTATTTTTATAATACATGTAAATGATTTGTCGATTTTCTTTAAGCATATTGTTGAAGCTCAACAAAGATTTACCTTATTAAAACTAGGTGAAAAAATATATTAGGGTGTATGGAAACGTATGGTAAAATATTTAGTAATAAATATAAAAAAATTACTATCCAAAGCCATATGTACCGACAGTCGACAGATCAGTACTAACGGCGTTCACCGATTCTTCGGAAGGCAGAGCTTCCAAAAAGAAGCACTTTTAGGCCAAATAAATCAAGTATCATTTTTTGTAACGATTAGGAATAGTGGCAAAACAAAAGAAACCTGCACGATTTTGTCTAGATCCGTGACCGCAAAGCAAGATAATTAGGCGTATTTGCTATCCATTGGCAAACACAGAGAGATTTTTCAATGCTGTAGAAGATGCAATTATTTTTAGTAGTCGGATGTAATTAGCGCGTTTCGGTAAGTGTGCTTAAATTGTAGATGAAGCGAGTTATGTACTTCTGTAACGCAATGGGAAAAATGCAGATTTAACAGAGTTCTATTTGGCCTAGCTTATGCGTTTCAGGTTTTCCAACGAGTGATATAACTATACAACACCGGCAAACTTGCAAATTGATACGTACATTCACGATGTCCTTAACTACAGGGAAAAGGTACAAGAATATCATAGAAGACCAGGTGCATTTTGAAATAGGCATGGGACTGTTGAAGCTAACGTCAATCTAACCGAAACGGTGCCTATGCTGTAATATTTTAACTAAAGAGTTGAACGTTTCGACGAAGAGGCGTTAGCCTAACATTGGCAGACCGGTTCGTTCTGTAATGAGCGCCAGCGTTTATAGACTATAGGCGTATATATACAGATAATAGAATAATAAAGAAACAATCGATACATTTCTCCAAGCAGGGATTGGCTCGTCGATGCTATAGGATGATACCTTTTGATCTGCATATGGTCGCTATAGAAAGAATAAATGCGAAGGAATCAATTTATTGGCCCAGGCTTATAACCCATATAGAGGCAATGCAGCTCTGCGAGTGCTGTAGAACTAGTCGATGGTGTAGCTTTTTACGATGAATTTGCCGTAGATCTCAATAAATTAGCTTGCTTTTTGATATAATCTAATCTTACTTGGAAATCTGTGAGTCAATGATTTTGTAGAACTATTAATTCGGACTGGCACAGAAACGGTATTGCAATCGGACCTAACGTCTGCACAAATGTGCAGTTCCGTTTAATTCCTAATAGGACAACAGTTTATCAACAAGTCTGATGCCCGGAAGGATGGGCCGATTCGTAGAATAGAAACAATTCCTCGTTTAGAAAAAGACGATGCAAGACATATATAAAATCATTGGTTCAATGAACGGTCCTTTGAAGCTTGCTATCTCAGCAGCAGCACTTGGAAAGCGCATACCGAGTAACGGGATGTTCATTTTTCCGCATAGAAGTAAGCCCTGAGAATAGAGCCTGCAGGATATTGCCAGTCGATTGTGACAAAGGTACTGTTGGTCTCGGACCTGGAACTCGACGCACGGTTATGAGCCCTATGAAAACAAGGAATAGAAAGAAGATAGGATGTTACTTCTTCACGGTTTGTTTTAAAGACAACATTATCCCCTTTCAGACTAATATATTCATTTTGAAAAAATATCTTCAATAAAACCCATAAAGCCCTATAAAAAAAAAAAAATTATATATGTAAAGGATATGGAGCGCTGATTACTGGAGGTTTGGTAGAGGGAGAAGGGAAAATGTTTGTCTTCTATGATGGAACTGTAACATAGGCTTGATGACGATGCTTCATAATTATCACCTAGTTACAGACTAGCTAAGGCCCAGGACATCGTGATTCCTCTGTCGTAGTCACTAACAAACATTTAGTGCCTAGTGTGCAGTAGAGGGTTTTCAAAGGCCCAAATACAGAAATACACATCCGAAGATTGTGTTGCATTGGAGAAAGGTGACAAAACTATGATCAAAAGCGAGTACCGTTTTTCAAAGCCAACTTACTATCTGCGCATACTGCAGACGTCCACAATTCTAGCTTGAACATCGAGCGTTAATCAAAATTATGATTATGGTGCAAGCGTAGGTGATATTGTTTAGCCTGAACGGTATTCTATACGCGCGTGATTTTCAAAAACCTACAAGTACGTTGTTGACGACCGCGACAAAATGCAACTTAAAGAGCCCAGCCGCATTGACAAAATTTGATCGTAATCGCGCTACACTTAATCGAACTCCTTTGCTGGGGAAGAGGCGGATGCGACAAGTTGGTAGACGAATACAAAAAGCTTCGCAAAGCTTTGTTTCTTCAAGATTTCCTAATAAAAGTTATCGATGTTAATAATAAAGCTTAAAAATGCATTTTAACTAAGGATCACAAAGAAATACTTGAAAAGAACAACAAGGAACAATCCGTCACAGTGTTTCATTAAATTAATTTTACTGAAAAAGTTTTGGAAGTCTTGTCACGCATAGCTAATGAACGTGGTCCAATAAATAAAGTTATACCAGTATTTAAAAACAAAAAAGTATATATACTGCATGGATTTAGGAAAAAAATATTAATAGAAGTAAACTGTCATAGACTTACATAAACGCAAGAATTTTTTACATATGTCGAACGTTTAACTTATAGAACACTTTCTTGAAGGAGTTCAAGCAATACTCTAGCATGCGATGAACGATTGCGGTAGCTTTCCCTGAAGGCAAAATGAAAAAGAACGGAAAAGCAGAAATAATTCGCAGACAGAGATTCGACGATGACTAGAGTCAAAGGGTGCAACGAGAGGGGCAAGTGTAATAGGAATTGGGCGATCCTTTCTAAGTATGTGGGAGTACGTAGCGGAGGTGTGGGGTTTCCCTAGTAGTAATCCCTGAGTTGAGTCATGATGGTTACCACCACGAGTAAACTAAACTACCTGCATGGAAGCCAAGCTACACGTGCCTTGAGTCCGACCCAGTAGATGAAACGAGCCTGCAAAAGCTTTTTCTTTGTCTATGCATCCGTAAACCCCCCCCTGCACCTTACAAAAACCGATTTCACAAAGAGGATTCGTTACATTAACCAGTCATCGAAGTTCGGTGCTGAGTCACCTTGTTAGTTATTCATTACAGATGCTTGGTGAGAATCAAGCATCCTATCAATCTAGAATCCTACTGTATATGCCGAAGCGTATATAACTGACTGTATATAGGTTACGTGCAGTACCTTCGATGGTCACAGCTCGAAACGCTAGTGCGATTGTGAAAGGTTTTCGAACCGACTCCGAGACAATATAGTATTCATCCGAGGGTCTTGGTAACTATAAAACGACTACGTCGTAACGTTACATGATTTCAGCTTACTTATTAAATTGCCACCGAGTAAAGGCTTTATTAAACGTTCGATAACTAGCTAGGTCTGGGTCGATCATTGTGTTTATAACCGCTTAACAGATTGAAATCGCATCTCTGGTAGTGACGTGGAAAAATTGCGCCAATTTATTTCTAAAGATTGTAGCAAAGGGCTTCTAACTGGCTATTGATCAATAAGCTCAGTAAGTTAGTTACAGATAAGTAGATAGGTGGATTGTTGCGTGTGTTACGCACGTCTGTTACACAGCTTTTGTTCGTCTAAAACAGGGCTAGTTACGTCGTGAAACGGGACCACAGCAATCCGTTATTGATCCCATGGGTAGCCGTATATGCTACTTTACCCAACGAGTTAAGAGAACATGAAAATGACAGCGGCTACTGACGATGCAATGGTCTAATTCAGTGGCCCTGGGGACGAGAAATTTAGACGAGCGTCTGCTCTACGCTATATTGAGCATCGACTAGAATCGCTTTTAACGATGCACGAACATTTTGCACTTTGATAAAAACTTCTCGCTTCAACAAAACCTTCGATAGATTGATGTTACCATTATTTTTTTTCCCCAATAGAACGTATTGACAAAACAGGTGTCATTCTCCAGACTATACTTAGCCATTGATTAAAGAATAACCGCAGTGTCCAGAGCTC